CAGCCTAGTCAGTTGCTCTGGTCCAGTGGAGTGGAAGAGTACAGGCTGGATGAAGACTTCATCCTCCTCTGCCTGTGACATCCATTACCCACCCACCCAGATCTAAAGTAGGGATCCTAAGTCTTCAACATCTGTCCTTCCCACCTCCTCTCCATCCTGAAGATCCCATGATATGCGCTGAGCCTGCCCTTTGGGGTGAGGTTTGGCATCACCCCCTTGAGCCTGAGGTGGCCCTGGGAAGGCTGTTTGGAGGGGAAAAGAGAGGGAGGCCCTTTAGTGGTGCATTGCAGGTAAAGGTGCATGGGGAGCGTGAGTTCTGGGGTAGGGACACCAGGGAAGGGAAAGGATGAACTCAGTCTCCATCCCTACCCCCCAAGCAGCTGCTCACAACTCTGCTAAAAATACCTGGCCCTGGCCCTGACCCTGGTCATTCTGCTCCCGAGCTGGATCTTGCCCAGAGCTGAGGATATCCAGGAAGATGGGAGTTGGGTGCCAATAGGAGCAGATAGGGCTGCGCTGGACCAGAGTCAGGGCTGGATCTAGCCCCTCCAGTCTTCGCTGACTCCCTCCTTCCTCTAGCTCCAGGCTAGGCCTGCTGCCAAGGGCCTGGAAATTCAGACTCTTACCCAGGAGGGGCACAGAGACAAAATATGGACACCGAGAGAGGGGTCTCAGCTACTACTTGGTGCTACCACTACCCAGAGCTAATCTCTCTTAGACCTAGGGTGGGGGATGGGAGCATGTGGTTGGGGGGGGGAGGGGTAAGACCATGGGGCTGCAGTTAGAAAGGCTTGGTTTTTAGTCCGGGCTGTGCTTCCAGCCTGCTGGAGCCTCCCCTCCCAGCCTCCAAGTGCCCATGACCTAATGTCCCTGCTGATCTCTGGGGTGTCTGAAGATTAGGGGCAGACAGGCTGTGAGGTGCTTTGTGACAGACACTTGTCAAACTCAAGTTTATGACAAGTATGATGGGGGACACCACAGAGGGCTCAGATGACATCAGTGAGGGACCATGTTGTCGTGGCAACGTAGGCTGGGCTTTCTGGCTGCTACATCAGTTTCCTTAGCAACACTTAAGAGGACCTTGACGTGAGGAGGGCCTGGTTGGGTAAGGGTTATGGGGATTCGTGTGGACCCCTCTTGTTCTTGGTAGCACCTAGCAAGGTAGGCAAGGGCTAGGCAGAGGGGTAGCTTGGCCATTTGTGTCCTTTCCATGTTCCTGGGGATCTTGGGGGTGCTGGAAAACCCATGCCAACTCTGATCTGGATAAAGTTCAGTGGGAAGAGGGAGTCTGTCAGAGGATGAAGCCTTCAGTGCCAGCATACTCCTCCCATCAGGAACCCTAGCAGGACTGTTTCTATGTCCCCATCCACTCAACCCCACACCTGACCATGCCACTGGGTATTGGGCAGAGGGTGGGGGTGGGGTAGCTGTGGTTCTTCCCACCAGGGGGCTGTACAAGGCAACCAGGCTGGGTTTCCCCTGCAGTAACCTGAGCTCTTGACCTCAGCAATGTTTCTTCATTGCTAAGGAAACTGCACCCACACAGGGCCACTCAGGTCCCAGGCATTCCAGTGGCTGTCCCAATAGGCCACAAAGCCTAGCTATGGCCAGGTACCCCAGAGGCCAGGACATGCATGACCTTAAGACAACCTCCTCCAACCCCAGGTTCCTCCCAGCTCTCTGGACTGAGCTTGGTTACCCAGAAGAGCAAACTGCAGCTGGAACACTCCCAGGGTCAGGAAGGGAAAAGGACACGAGGTCCCTACAGCCTAGAACAACCATCCCTTTAGCCTCCAGTCTTCAAATCCCAGTTCTGCCCTTCACTGTTCCACCTCTGCTCATTTATCCATATCAAGGCTCTGTTTCCTCTTGTGTAGAACAAGAATTAATATCTTCATAGGGTTGGCAGTGGAAAGGACATGAATGCAGAGGTCAAGTGGTCGCTCAGCACAGACCTAGCACACAGGAGTATCTCAATAAAATGATTTTTATCCTCCTCCTCCTTGCTTGGACTGGATAGAACTGAGTGAATTCTTGGGCCTCTCCTGCTTCTTCTCTCCAGCTGTGACTCCACGAGACAGAGAGACCCCAGGAGTAATAGATACCCCCACACCCAATCCCCTACTCATCTCCTCTATGGGACTCCCACACCCTCTTCTCTCTCTGAGGTTGCTAAGAACTTGGCTGGATTTCAGTGTTCCCACCCCTCCACAGGCAACAGCTCCCATACCCTAGGAGCTCCGTCTTTGCAAGGCTCAATCCATTCATTTATTCCACTGAGCTGAGCTAAGTACATATGTGTGGACAAGATGATAGGCAACAACACATAAGGCCCACTTAGCCTTGTTGTTCCATCTGTAGACATGGTAACTGAGGTCACAGGCCAGAAACAGCAGACTCAGCCACACCTGCTAGACGGTGTTCCAGGAAACCTAAAATCTTACTACCTTTCTGTATCTCTGTGTCCTCAAACAGCAGCTGGAGTTCCAGAAAGTTCCTGGGCCCTGGCCCAGGATGCACAGATGGTGTCCCTGAAGGCAGCTAGGAGCCAGGCACAGATGAGTCAAGATGACAAAGGGATATGCCAGCTGAAGCATGAGCAGCTTGGTCTCTTTTGCCCTCTGGGAACTGTCAGGAAGACCAGCTGAGTGACTCAGTGACCTGCCTTCCCTGTGAGCCCCTTCCCCCAGCTGAACACAGACACCACTGCCACCTCAGACAGATAGGGGCCATCAGGCAGAGGTGCAAACATGGGGAGGACAATGCCAGTGTGGAAGGCTCCCTGGGTCTGCAGGGCCCTAGTGGTCACCCTGCTCTTTAGTACACTCAGCGTCCTCCTCCATGGAAATAGGTGGGGTGGAGAGTGGAGACTACGATGGGAAGATCACCTGAGACAGTCCCAGCTCCATTTTAAACCTCCACACAGCAATTCCAAGTGATTGCTATAACTCGCCCCGTAGCCAGGTGAAGAAATTGTATAACAAGGGCTGATGGCTTCACTTTTCTGAGCTTGGGCAGCCAGAACAAGAGCTTCACTCTAGGTTACAAGGTGGAGAAGTCACTCTATCCTGAAAGAAGCAAAAGCTTTAGGACTTGGGAGTTGGAATGGGCAATAGCGCCACCTGCCAGTAAAAAGTACCTATCAGCTATTGCTCAGTGCACTGTCCTCAGGTGATTCTGACTCCTTGTTTTGTTATTGCTAACCCTGTATAAAGGAGCTCGGGTAGCATAGTGGTTATGAATCTGGCTGCTAACCTCAGGGTCAGCAGTTCAAAACTACCAGCTGTTCCGCAGGAGAAAGATGAGGTCACTATGAGTAGGAACTGACTCCATGGCACATAGGGTTTCCAAGGAGCAGCTGGTGAGCTCGAACCCCTAACCTTGCAGTTCAAGCCAAACTTGCAGTCCAGTGCATTAACCCACAGTGTCACATCAGGTTGTTGTTGTTAGGTGCAGCGAGTCATAGTGATGTTAGGTGCATCAAGTCAAAACATCACAATTGTTGCCACTTTGCTAATCCATCTCGTTGGGGGTCTTCCTCTTTTTCTCTGACCCTCC